GTCCCTCCCCTCCATGTGGCAGTTGTAAAAGAGGAAAGTTGTTTTCAGGCCCATTTAAACTCCCAGCACTGTTAGGAAAACAGCATTTCTCATCTGTTCTGATCATTTTTACTCTTCTGTAAAATCTGTTCTAGTCAATAAGTAATGAAATAGAAAGTAATTCTTTTTTTCTGGAAAACTTGTTTGATTAGTCCTGCATGTCTATTCTTTTTCTCTTGAGGAAACCAGCTTTCTTTGAGGCCTGTGTGAATATTGTATTAGAAGCAAGGATTGTGGTCCTGGTAACTGTGTGGGTTTGTCACTCTGCTTTTAGCATTTACCAAGTGGAGCCCAGCAGCTTAGGACTCTGTGAGGTCTACTATCTCTGCCATGATGAGTCATCATCTTCTAAATTCCTACTTTGTGTCAGATTGCTGCAGGTGACACTGGAGGCCTCCTATGGGTCTCCCACTTCCCAGTCTCACTACTGGAACAACTATTAGGAGCCTAAAGAGTTCACTGTGACCAGGATAGAAAAGAGCAGTGATAGGAAGCTACTCACGTGCTGCTATCCGCCACCCGCCCCAGGGTGGATCTTGGAAAATATTTTTTGAGAAAAACTTATTAAAAACTACCCATACAACAGATAAACTGTATCTGGCTACACTATAATAATAGTGATCTGCTTCTGTATATGCTTTCGATAGAAATTTCTACTATATTCTGTTTTGCGCTGGATAGTCTATCAAAGCTAAAAATAATCTTGAGCAACTTAAGGAACTAGAAAAAAAGACAAACTAAACCCAAAGCTACAATAGGAGAGGAAATAATAAAGATTAGAGCAGAAATAAAATAGAGAATGGGAAAACAATAGAGTAAGTCAATGAAAGCAAAAGGTGGTTCTTCAAAAACAGATTGAGTTAGTAATCAACAGAGAAAAATCCTGGACCCGATGGCTTTGCTAGTAAATTTACCATACATATGAAGAACTAAACCTTACAGATTCTGCAAAAAAAAAAAAAGTAGAATTAATAAATGAATTCATCAGGTAGCAGGCTACCAAGTCAACACACAAAAATTAACATTTCTATTCAAGAACAATCATCAGTCTGAAAAGGAAATTACAAAATCTACTCCATTTACAATAGTATCAAAGAGTAAAATACGTAGAAATTAACCAAGGAGGTTAAAGACTTATACAATGAAAACTATAAAACATTGCTAAAAGAAATTTTAAAAGACATAATGGAAATGCATCATACATTCAGGGATTGGAAAACTTCATTTGTTAATGTGTCAGTGCTATACAAAGCAGTCTACAGCTTCGGTAGGAATCCCTATTAAACTCTCATGGATATTTTTTGTAGAAATAGAAAAAAAATCTCTCCTAAAATTAATATGGAATTTTAAGAGACAGTGAAAAGCCAAAATAATCTTGAAAAAGAACAAAATTGGAAGACTCACACTTCCTGATTTCAAAACTTACTACAAAGCTACAATAATCGAAGCAATGCGCTATTGACATAAAGATGGACATATAAACCAATGTAATAGAAAAGAGAACCCAGAAATAAACCCTCACAAATATTAACAAATGATTTTTGACAAGGGCCAAGATCATTCATTGGGGAAAAGACAGTCTTTTCAACAAATTGTGATAGGAATCTATTCAACTGGATATCCACATGCAAAAGAATAAATTTGGACCCTCACATAATACTATATTACAAAAACTGAACTCAAAATGTGTCAAGGGCTAAAATCTAAGACTTAAAACAATAACTCTTAGAAGAAAACATGGAACAAAAGCTTCACGACATTGGATTTGGCAAGGATTTCTTTTATATGACACCAAATGCCCAGATCACAAAAAGAAAAATAGAAAAATTGGACTTAATGAGTATTTTTTTTTTAATTTTAATTTTTAAAAATTTTTTTAATTTTACAACACACACACACAACTTCCACCCCAGACCTATAGATGTTGATGTCTCTCCTTAAGAACTGGATCTCTGAAGGCGTCTCCTCCCATAAGCTCGTGGCGCCCAACTAGGGCCTGGCGCGCCCGGGGTATGGGCCGTGGCTTCGCTGGGGCTCGAACCCAGGACCTTCTGCGTGTAAAGCAGACGTGCTAACCACTAGACTTTGAAACCACCCCAATATGCCTATTTCTTGAGTTACAATAGTTGCGCTGGATAAATTATTCTTGGTTGTATATGATGGGTCTTCATCCTGTCGAATATTTTTTGCCAAACCCTTCTGTGCTGCATAGTTTCTTTTGAGAAATCAGCTGCCAGTCTTATAGATGTTCCCTTTGTAGGTAATTATTTGTTTTTCTCTTGCTGCTTTTAATATTGTTTCTTTGTATTTAATCTTTGGCATTTTAATTATGATGTGTCTTGGTGTGAGTCTCTTTGGATCCCTGATTTTAGGACTCCTCAGAGCTTCCTGGGGTTTTATGTCCATTTCTTTCACCAGATTAGGGAAGTTTTCCATCATTATTTCTTCAAACAGCTGTTCAGCATCTTGATTTTCTTTACTTACACTGATCAGATGAATATTTGGAGCCTTAACAGTGTCCCATATCCTCCTTAAATCATCTTTATAGTCTTGGCCTCTTTTTTCTTGCCATTTTGTTTGAGTGTCTTGATTGGCTTTCTTGTCCTCTTGAGAGGGCATGTGATCCTCTGCTTTATTCACTTTGTTTATTCCTTTGTTTATTCCATTTAATATACTTCTCATCTCATATAATGTGTTCTCCATTTCAAACTGATTCCCTCTTATAATCTCCATCTCCATTTTTATCTCTTTGTTGGAGTTCTTTTCCCAAAAGTTCATTGAGCATCTTTATAACCAGTGTTTTGAACTCTGCTTCTTTGTCTTCCCATTTTGGCTGCCTTTCTGTGTCTATTTCTATGTACTAAGCAAAGCTTCTAAGTCTTCTGGTCTTATTAGTGTGGATTTGTTAAGTAGGTGTCCAGTGGCACAGTCCTGTGAGGGGTCAGCTGCAGGCCAAATTTAGCCCAAGACTGTGCCCCTCCGGGGCCACCTGTCAAGATTCAGCAAGCAATCCACAGATACTGTGCTTATAGTTGCCTCGAAAGGCCACACTAGAAACCAAGGCCAGCTACCTCCAGTGTGAGTCTAGGCTCCGCTCAGCAAGGTGTATCTGACTCGCTGAGGATATTCCTGGATGTGGCTTGGGTGGGGCCTGGATTGGGGGAGACAAGGTTTCAGGAAATTCTCTGGGCAGAGGGACCTCTGTTATCCAGTGTGATGATGTCACGTCTGTGATGGCGCGGTGTCTGCACATCGAGAGGGGGGAGGTCTCAACAGGGAACAATGGATATCATCAGCACTTTTGTACCGAGAGTCTCACCTTGACCCTCACTCGGACAGTCTCTCCCAATAAGTCCCTTGTGCCCCCTGCATGCAGTCAATTGAGCACTGGTGCTTGGAGCGAGCTGGTCCGTCACCAGGAAAACCCGCTCGTGGATGCAGCCCCTTTAAGAGGTTTCTACCACTGCCACACCCTCTGTCTCACTCAGCCGCTTGGGACAGGGCAGCCCCGCATCCTCTCCCTGTCCTACTTTCTGCCATTGCAGGGTGCTTTCTTAGATTTCTCCCTAGTTGTATAGCTTGTTCATCTAGATCCCAGGCAATTTTTCTTTGCTGCTGCTCCTTGTTTCCGCCACAACTCCAATTTGGTCACCAGAGGGATGAACAGAGCCTCTATCATCTACGCCATTTTTTCTACAGTCGAGTATTTTTAAATTTTGTATATCACTCTCCACAGAGTAAAAAGGCAACCCACAATATGGAAGAAAATATTCACAAATCATGTGTCTGTTGAATACGTAAGGAACTTCTAAAACTCAAGACACAAAAACAAATAACGTGATTCAAAAATGGGCAAAGGACTTGAATAGGCATTTTTACAAAAAGTCTATACAAATGGCCAGTAAGCACATGAAAAGATGCTTAATATCACTAATCTTTAAGGAAATGAAAACCTAAACTACAATGAGATTACCACCTCACACCTATTAGGATGGCATCTATCAAAAAAACAAAAAAGTGTTGGTGACGATGTTGAGAAATTGGAACCCTTGTACACCATTGGTAGGAATGTAAAATGTTACAGCTGTGTGGAAAACAATATGGCAGTTCCTCAAAAAATTAAAAATAGAATTACCACATAATCCAGCAATTCCACTTCTGGGTATATACCCAAAATAATTAAAAGTCTTGAAAAAATATTTTCGTACACCCATGTTCATAGCAGCATTATTCACAGCAGTTAGAATGTGGAAGCAACCCAAGTGTCATGGACTGATAAATGGATAGGTAACATGTGGTATATATACACAGTGGAGTATTATTTAGCCTTAAAAAGGAAATTCTGCACTATGCTGTAACATGGATGAACTTTGAAGACATTATGCTAAGTAAAATAAACTAATCACAAAAAGACAAACACTGTATGATTCCACTCATATTAGGTACTTACAGTAATCAGAATCATCAAGACAGAAAGAGTGGTGGTTGCCAGGAGCTGGGGGGGAGGTGGAGACTACGGAGTTACTGTTTAATAGATGTAGTGTCAGTTGTACAAGATGAAAAGAGTTACAGAAATGGATAGTGGTGATGGTTGCACAACAGAGTGAATGTATATAATACCACTGAACTGTACACTGAAAAATGGTTAATATGGTAAATTTTACATTTTGTGTATTTTACCATAATAAAGAAAAGAAGCTTGAACATAAAGGCTAGTTTGTAGAGATATTTGTTATGTAAATGGCTTAAATGCAAGAGGATTTCTCTTAATATACTGTTACCGTTTCAGACAGATTTTTATTTAATGGTCTGTTTTGTTTACAATCACAACGAAGGTTGGTGGAAAGGAATGAAGCAGTTTCTCCCTGCCAAATCAGTGGAACATGAGGAAACTCCAGTTCGCTATAGCAGTAGTGAAGTTAATCACCTGAGTCCAAGAGAAGTTACCACAATGCTACAAACTGACTCTGCAGGTAACTACATGGCAGCCTTCAGTCACAAGATAGAGGGAGAAATTGCTATGCTTGCTCTGAAATCCCTTGGGATTTATAGTATCTTATTTATTTTCATGTGTGAGAGAGGTAAGCTATTTTCCAAAGATAGAACCACTTTTTAAAAAGATGATCTTGAGAGAGTCACTTCTGTGACTCAGATGTTCTGTCCATAAAATTCAGACATTCTCATTTCTAAAATCTCTGGGCATTTTTGTCTGTTTACGAGTTTTGTTTGGTTTTATTGGGGGTAACGAGGGTGTTAAATGAAGAGCAGAAAAGACAGCAAGCCATATAGTATTCTGTTAACCTAGTATGTATTTATTTAAAACATTTTCTCACATTTGAAAAGAAAAATATCTCTGAAGTTATATGCTAAGACTAATATTCTAGTAATGGAAAATTTCTTTTCCAGTGAAATAACTGTCTATAAATTTGAAGAACATATACATTCTTTATGTAAAATTACATGGATGAAGCTTTCTGGCATCTTAATTTATTACCGTGAGATACAAGATAACATCTTTAATTTTAATTTTTGAAGGTTCTTACAGAGAAGTCCATAGGTCTGTGTTAATAGTGACAGAAGTGCCATAAAAAGAAAGTGTTTGTTTTGGGCATAAACCTGCAGCTGCCAACCTAAATACAATCCCTGTATTTACAAGGTAACGATTCTGTTTGTCTTTTGTAATATCCACAGAGTATGCACAGCCGCTTGTGGGAGGAATTGTTGGCACACTTCACCAGAGGTCTACCTTTAAACCAGAAGAAGGACAAGAAACAGGTTATGCTGATCTAGATCCTTACAACTCCCCGGTACAAGAAGTTTATCATGCCTATGCTGAACCACTCCCAATTACTGGGCCTGAGTATGCAACCCCAATCGTCATGGATATATCGGGGCACCCCACGGCTTCAGTTGGTCTACCCTCAACGTCCACTTTCAAAGCTACAGGGAACCAGCCTCCCACTTTAGTGGGAACGTACAACACTCTCCTCGCCAGGACCGACAGCTGCTCCTCAGCCCAAGCCCAGTATGATACCCCAAAAGGTGGGAAGCCAGGTCCAAAGGCCCCAGATGAACTGGTGTACCAGGTGCCACAGAGCACACAGGAGGTATCAGGAGCAGGGAGGGATGGCGACAGTGATGTTTTTAAAGAAATCCTTTGAAAGTGACGCTGCTTTTCACAAAGCATCATTTTAAAGCACATGGCTTTTTTTTTCTGTTAGCGGTAGTGATATATAGAATGTGTCACATATCTGTCTCGGATATGGTTGGGGAAACGTGATGACCGAGGTACAGGAAACTACTAATCTTGCGGTCTTGCTTTAAAAGTGTTATTGTGGCAGTTACTGCTTGCCTGTTAAATTTCAAACATCCTGTTTGTTACTACTGTAAAACACTATTTTTAATACAGAAAAAGTTCCCTACTATGCACTTCAAAGAAATGGAAAATCACTGAAAGTATTTATTACCAATGCTGCAGGTACATTGACGAACTCAAGAGATGGCTCTGTAAGCCTGACTGGCAATAACGCTTGGTACTGTTCTTGAAATGTCTAATGGCTTGAAATTCTGCTCTCTGTGAAAGGTGGGTACTGTCATGACTCCCTCCTCTTCCATTCCTATATTGCTTTCTGGATTTTTTTTTAAAAAAATGACATAATCATTGTTTTGATTGCAGTCATATACACTTGGACAGTCTTACACTGTCCATTTTTCCTTAGGAAGAGCTATAGGTGGGAAACTCTGACTTATAATGAACAGGGTGATTGAGTTTTTACTTTTTGACACTCTTAAGTGCTTTAACACTCATGGTACTGGACCTGGTCTCACGCCTGCTTGTTCCGCCTGGGGCCGTTGGTGGCTAGCCCCATTCTTATGTTTATAAAATGTTTTGAGTTTTTTCAGTGGGTGATAGCTTGCTTTATCAATCTCATGAATTCAGATCCTGCAATGTCTTTAAGTTTACTTCTCTGTGGAAATAAGAACTTTACAATTTAAAAGCTATAAAAGATAAACCCCTCTCCTCTCCAACTTTATTTGCAATGGGATTTTTCCTAGGAGAGTTGTGAAAAGCCGAAGGATTCTAGATGGACACCGTAAACGTGAGCCACTTATACTTATCACAGTGAAGGCAAGAATCATTCCTCAGAAGTCATAAATTACCTTAAAAAATTTGCCTTCTTTAGTGTTAGAGATATTTTTCTTCAAATCTCAAGATAGTCTTTATTTCTAGTCAAATAAAAAAATACTTTTTAATTCATTTTCCACCGTAAACTGTTATAAGAAATGTAACCCCAACATGTATTCTTCAGCTCTGTGTGATTGTGCCCTTATCTGTGTGGTGAGAGGTGTGAGTAGTTCCTTATATCATACTTAGAGAAGAGATGTTATAGCATCCTAGCACATTAATGTTCTTGTCTAGTTTTTTGATACCTCTGGGCAACTTCTTTGTTATCACTTGCCTAGAACTAGTTTTAGATGAGTGAAATAAAAATCATCTGCAATTAGCCTATAATGTAAAACCCATGCTTAAAAGTCTTTAGGCTAGCAACGTGACATGAGAAACTGACCTTATGATTAAAATTTGACGTCCCTTCTCATATAAACCTTAGTTTGTAGACTTAATTTTGAAATGTACTTTTTCCATTAGTTTCTAGTCATTTCTGTTGACCTGGGCCACCAGATTATGATGTTGCCAGAATTTGCTAAATTTGATTAAAGATAAAGTCTTCATTTTACTGCTTCTACAAGTATACCAGTAATCTAAAACACTGCTTCAAAATAGAACCGTTCATTTCTAAAGCTTCCCTGCCGTCTAGTTCTATGATTTTGTTGGTTTTATTTTCATTTGCTTTCCATGAGGCATAATTTTATTCAATGAAACACCAGTACATATTTTGTTTCAAAGTATTCGAAACAAAAAGCACAGATGTTGAACTTTTTTATTAAAACATATGAATGTGTAAAGCACATGTATTAATACAGTCATCCCCTTTCAGGTGGGAAGAGAGTAAACCAATTGCTTTATTTTTGTAGTCATCCTTAGTACACAGAGAATATACTTTTTCTTGAATCATACGCCTGTTTGAAGCTTTAAGAGAAATGTTTTCGGTAACTATTTCATTTTCCCAACGTGCTTGCTATTTTTGTGTAATTGTGTGCACCTGTTTTTCCCATGGAACTTTTTTTTTTTGAGAAGCAAATGTTTTCTTAAATGTTGCATGTTTTAAGACTTGATTTATATTGCCACTGTGCTGTCCTTGAACTACCATGATTTTTACAAATATCTAGTTTTTACTAATTTTATATACTTTACTTTCCAAACGAAGAGCTGAGCCTGATAAAAAGGTCATTCTGGTTTTATACTTTTCCTTTTAGTTCATTTTTTTTCATATTAGAGTTTTGGGTTTGTTTTTTGTTGTTGTTGTTTTACTACATTTATATATACATAGCTTTGGAGACAATCAAGTAACAACTGAAAATGTGAAATTAACCATTTTTTTACAAAATTTCCTTTTTTTATTCTTTGCTTGAAACTTGTAAAGGACTTAGGTCACTGTGGATTATTGGATTAAATTTTTTTCCTGTTAATACAATTATAAAAGTTGAATCAGACAGTAGTACAACAAGTGTGGCCATTATTACACGTTTCACAAAATTACACTGACTGCTGTTACTTGATATTAGGAACCAGCACAAGTTAAAGATAAGATATTGTGAATGCTGATTTATATTTTATTAAAAGCTATAAATCTAAATAGATCCTATTGTATATGCAGGGTCTAGTCCAGTTATTTAAGTTCATGTTTCACTGTTTGCACTTTGCATTGAACAATGGGGTTTATTTGCTGATGACATGGTTCGAATAGAGAATTAATTATGACGTTATGTATACACTTGCCCTCCCCGCCCCGTGAGGGGTGCAGAAAATGAGCTCAGAAAATATGAATGTGGCTATAATTCTATGGAAATTGATAAAGCTTTAACTTACTTGCCTTTGCACCTGGAGAACAAGAGAGCTATGTCAGATGATACAATTAGAAATAGGTTGTGCTTTTTAAAACCTTCCTAAGAGAAATTAGGCTCTACTTGAAAATAAAAGTACAAATTAGCTCTGCCTTTTGGTTCTGAACTTGAAGTCCCTAAACTGCAAAATCTAAATAAGAGTTGGATGGTTATTAAAATACTTTTTAGGTGAACTATGGCACCAATTCTCACTTAATCCGACCTGTGACTAGTTTCTTCTTCATCTTTTTTTTTTTTTTTTTTTTTTTTTTGCCCGGGGAAAGGTTTCAACAAAAAATGAATTT